CTGTAAGAGCTGAGAGGACAGGTGCGTGGAGACTCTATTAGGGTGTGAGGGGCTGTAGGAGCTCAGAGGACAGGTGTGTGGAGACTCTGTTAGGGCGTCAGGGGCTGTAGGAGCTCAGAGGACAGGTGTGTGAAGAGTCTGTTATGGTGTGAGGGGCTGTAGGAGCTCAGAGGCTGTGCGTTGGCCCCCCTGTCTCAGGCCTGCTGGGTTGTGCCTAAGCCCCCAGAGGAGATGGTATGCACTGGGCTTGCCTAAGGTGGGGGCTGGAATTGAGACCCCCGACCCCGCACAGGACTCTGGAGCTCACCGCCCCTTCATTGAGCAATTCGGAAGCCTCTCCCCAGCCCAGGGAAGGCAGAGGAGCTGGGAAGAGGTTGAAACCCCAAGCTGGACATGGGTGTGGGAGCCTACGAACTGAGAGGTTACCGTCGAAGTCCCAGGCCAGTGGCCTGGTCGTGTTCGTGGTTAAAGCAGAGGGAAAACCTCTGGGTGGGAAAGGCCACTTTTACAAGCTGGGGCTCCCAGGGTTCCCAGAAGAAGCAGTCTGCCAAATGTGAGTTCACAAACAAAAATCACAAAAACTATGAACGTGAAGAAACAATCACCATGGTGCAAAAAATAGGATTATCACACTAAGAACTTGAGACAGTTGTGCAATCTGGAAGACATTTTTAGAAGTGAAATTGTTTTCTCTGAAATTTAAAACTTAGGAAATGGTTAAATAGCAGAGTAGACATAGCTGAAGAAAGAATTAGTGAACAGGAAGATAGATGTGAAGACATCTATCAGGAGAGCAGTAACAGAAGGAAAGAAGTCAGAAACAGTGGTTAAAATCACAGAGGAAAGGTTATGCGGCCTGTCGTACATCCCGCGAGATGTCGTAGAGCAAGAGTTCAGTGTCATCATCATTCTTAAGGTTTCGAAACAACCCATCTATTCATTTTTGCTGTTTTATTTTTTTCAGTCTTTCCCATAAAGAGAGTGAGTTTTGGGGAACCACACAAATGCTGAATGTTAAGTTTCTGCCTGCAGATCCTAATCATTTTATTGTCGGCACAGACGTGGTGAGTAATACTTCAGATTTCATTCTATTGCTCATTCTTCCTAGAGTTATCTGGTAAATATCTTTATTTAAAATTAACTTACAGTTTGCTTTTACTATGATGTCATCCAAGTTGTTTCGAGACCGTGATGCTTTTCTCGTGGTCTCCAGGGGCTGGTAGGCCACAGCACGAGACAGGACCTGAGAGCGTCTCCCAAGTCCTTCAAGCCTCAGCAACGTGGCATGAGACTCGTCAGAGTTAACGCAATTGATTTTTCACCATTTGGAGAACCAATATTTTTGGTAAGAAAATCTG